GGGAAAGAAAGATGTAATTTGAGTGCTCAATAAATCCGACTTGTCTGAACGTACTTAAAATAAATGAGTTGGGTTCATTTTCCAAAGACATCTGTCTAGTGCCATTTTAGACAACCTACGTGGTCTCCAGTAGCTTTTTTAGAAGGTCATGGCTTTTCCAAATCTCCAGTGTCACTGCTTACTGGCCCAGTGCAGGTTCCTCTGATGGCACTGGGTGCTATATTTAGTCAATTGAATCTCAACAAATAGTTACTAAAAAAAAAAGGTCTGTAAGCAATGCTAAAGATACACAATGTTTGTAGGAATAAGTATCTTAGTTCCCCACAGTCCCCAGCTGACGGGGCACTGCAGCTTCTGTCTCCAAAGACTCCACTGACTCAAAATGGCCAAGTGTAGGGAAAGATGGTAATAAAAAGAGATACTGTGTTATTTACGGACAGGAGGAGCTCATGATCCAGGCAGCTCATCCTCCACTCATGTTGATCAACTGCTCCTAGCGCTTATGAAAATACTCTGTAGCCAGTTTTATGCTGTGATGAGATGTTGAATGGCTTAAAATACATTCTGGTCTGCCAGAAAAAAATGTTCAGGAAGGCCCCACCACAAAACTTCACGTTGCGTGCACACGTGTTACATACATCATAGAAGAAGTACTTTAGAAATGGTTTGCTAAACGTGGTAAGTGCAAGTGCTGTAGATTTTAAATAGAAATGCTCAGTAACAACCATCGCTGATGGGTTTAGTGAGTGTTCTTGAAGGTGGATAACTGAAAATGACACAGTCTGATGCAAAGAAGCCAAGAAACATACACTTCTATTCTCCTTCCAACCATCGCATAGTCTTTATTAAGCAGAATATTAAATTAGATCTGAACAGCATTTATCTCCTAAAATTCAATTTTTCTGAGCATATGTCAGATAAAGTCCATTCCATCTTCCGTCTGACTTTTAACTGCTTGCTAATGCAGTATCTATTGCGAACTGGATATGGTAGGAAAAAAATGATGGGATACTCGTCTGGATTCAGAGTAAGGCATCCAAAATAAATTTGAGGAAAATGACCTTAATTCAGCAAAGTGCTTCAGCTTTAAGCATGCAAATAGCCAATGAATCACATGCTTAAAGTAAGACTCATGTATGTGCTTCTTGCTAAATTAGGCATAAATTATGTCTACATATCAAATGGCAGCAAAAGCCCAGTAGAAAGGCAAAACAAAAAAACACAAAGAAGAGATAACCATGAAAGCTTTGGTTCAGAAGCAATCCTTTCTCAGATGTAATACAGTCCACATAAGGTCTGTTTGTTTTTTTACTCAGTCACTTTATTATTTATTGCTCAGTATCAAAAGGAATCAAACTGACATTGATTAAAGGCCATTGTGAGTTGTAGGTAATATTCATATAATTCTTTGAATAGTATGATGCACATTCTAGGGATAAATTGAAATCATAGAAGACTGAAATAGAAGGTAATCACAGTATGATGCAATCATGTAAACAAAAGCACATATGTATAGATTAATACAGATTTCCTTTGTCCATTTGACAGGCCTGATCAAAAGTAGCAAATATTTCAATTCTAACAAACGTTTGAGTCTCTCCTTTGAATGGGTGACTATAAAAGAAATAATCTTATAAATCAGAGTGGATTAATATGTCTCTACTGCTTTTCCTCTTTAAGGCTTATCAGAATCTTCTGTCCTCCCACTGAGTTAAATGCTTATTTAGGAAAATGAGCTGAGCAAATGTTCGTTGTCTGAACAGAAAAAAATACTTTATAAATTACTGATATTCCCATGGAAGATATGAAATCAGATACTTTTGATCAGCCAGGAGGACATTAATAATTGGTATAGACCACTTGCATTACGAAGGACCATGTTTCAGCAGCTGAACCCCCTGCAACTTCCTCCTCTGCAATTAAGTGATACATAAGCGCTGCAAAATGTGCCTCTGAGAGGTTGAAGACTGATCTGCTCTGTGAACTTCTGGGCATGCGTAGAGTTGCACTGGATTTCATAAGGCTTTGAGTAAGACCATCTATTCAAATAGGGCAACCCAACTATTGAGACCCGGGCTGTGCAAGAGATTCAAACCGCCTCGGTATATGGAAGCAGGACTGGTAGCTGCTTTTTAGAAATAGTGTCAACTTTGCAAAGGCCAATACTAGCCTGGCAGCACGTGAATTTCTTCTTGCAGTATCAGGATTTAGGACACCGATTTGGGGTTAATCTCAGTAAAGACCGTCATTCAGCCTCAAGCTGGTCAAATAAGGCATGAATTCAGCAGCGAGCTTTGGGATAGGACTTAACCTCTATGTCATAATACATGCTAAGCTGTTTAAGTGTATTTGGTGCAATTACATCCAATTAAATACTTGGAAATTAGGTTCCTTGTTTTTAAACATCATAAGGCCCCTGCTTGACAACAGCATTGGCACTGGCTGACTTGTATAATTTGATCAAGATCCACAGGTCCCACAGCCTGCTCTCCAGGTGCCAAAAGGTTCATGTGCCCAAAACATGGATGGAGGCTTACAAGGACAAACCAGGGCTGTTTGTACAGTCTCACTAGGATGGAGCAGATTTATGGGATGCTCATGGTGGTTTATGCCAAGGAGGAATTCATGTCAGCGTACTTACTGCTGAATCTGCAAACCTTCTATTTAGCACATGAAGACAGCGCCTTTGGTGTGTGAACACAATGCTAAGACACTCAGTGCCTTTCTGTCACGAGTTCTGGATTTCGATCGTTACAGACTTCACTCCTGTGTGCAGTCTGTCCTTTCCTAGCATTTTCAGTCTTCCAGGGGTTAGTTAACTGTTTTGTTTTTTATAAATAGGATTAATATATAAAATTTTTAAGTGCAATATACACAGAAAAATATAAAATGTTTCAAGCCTGTGGCTCTCTCCCCGCATTTTGCCCATTTTCTGTATCACCAGGTAAAGGTGCAGGAAACACAGAGGGACGCTTCTGAGCAGGCTTGCGAATTGGAGGACCGGCTGTTTTTGTGAGCTATGAGAGCAGCCATCACACCCAACATACGCTGAGAGAGCTTTTGTTCGTATACAGAGAAAACAAAGGACACACAGGTTCGCTACTCTTTCGTATGGAAAGATTGCACAGAAAGAGAAAGCTGCCGACTTCCAGGGCACAGTGCATTTCTCGAACTGACATTCACACGGTGTCTCCAAACTGCTTCATTATGAGACTAAACACCAGGATTAAACGCTTAAACTGATTGGTTGATACTGGGGACAAAACTGTAGAACCACAGCCACACTTTACTACAAGCATTGGACTGTAGTACGAGGACAGTTTGAATGGTATTTTTCCCCCCTCCCCCCTAAATACACACTTCAAACAAGAAAGCAGTCCAGCAGTTTTCTAAGACACAAGAACAGGACATGAGTTTAGTCCTTCAGAACAAGCTGTCTGTCTCCATCAGGGTTGTAACAGCCATCTTGCACCAGAAAGCAGCCCAGACTTTTTTTTTTTGTTGTTTTCTTACCTTATTCCTGTTATCATCCAAGGACGTCTCATTTCCCTAGCGGTTTCTCACTATATTTTCTTTCAAACTTTCCATTCTTCTTATTTCTTAGTGTTGCTGTAGCAGTCTAAATGTCTTTTTCTTCTTGTAGTTGCAGTTTTCTCACTATTTCCCTGAACATCTGCAAGACAGCCCATCTGGGTTGACACAGTGTGAGATGAGGCAGACAGGCATTGCCAACAAAGGGCTCCTACTGCAGCGAGTGGGCTGTTGAAATCAGATGTTTTCTAAGACGTCTATGGGGACAAAGCCTTTCTTCTTCCCGCTGTATACTTTGATAAAGCCATCGTGTTCCTTTTCAGAAGTCACACAAATCTGAATGCAAAGAAGGTATGAAAATATTAAACTCTTTGCCACGATCAAAGCGACAAATTATTCCAGGCTATTTATCAGGTGGATTAGACGTCCTGCTAGTTACTTCTATAAGTAGAACAATCCCTTTTAGACTCTCGCTGCTTTGATAAGAAACCCAAACTCATATGTTTAGAGAGTCACCTTTCCCCTGCCTCCCTGAAGTGCCACGTATATGTGAGAGACTTTAAAATCCTTAAGAACTTTGTGGTAGATCAAAGATGTTTGAAACTTGAATTCTGACTTCAGCCTACTGTAATGGTTGTGATTTAGTTGTCTGTAATTGAGAGGAATGGGTATTTCAGATCATGAGCTAGCTGGCTCCCTCAACAGTTGGTGGTGAGAAGTAATCAAGGTGGGTCACTTGTAGCAGCTGATCTGAATGCAAGATACTCTCTTTTGCATGTTTAAGGAGCCCCAGTACTTCTCAGGTGAGCAGTGGGTTATGTTATTTACTCAGCCCTTGCACCCACAGGTGCCTGTTTTGGATACCAAAGTATGTGATCCAAATCCAGCTCTGCAGGCATGTTTCCCTTACACCTATATGAAATGGAGGCAGGTGTGGTGGAACCATATGGTCTTTACAATAGCACAAACATTACATTGCAATAAAGGTTTGCATTTCCTGAAGACCTTTGTGATCTCAGGTATTTCCACTTTCGGCCCCTCATGAGATACTTCTGGTAATGGTCGAGCCATTTGAAAGCATAGTGGCACAGGTACTTTAGACGGGGCTCTTGAGTACAGAGCCACACAAAATAAAGAATTGTTTTCAAACATCTGTGCCAAAGAACTATCTATATCTTACTAATCAAACAAGGTTAAAAAATAGTCAGAAAACTGATGGTCCTGTTGAGAACAACTCACTGATTTCTCATGATGTCAGTGCCAGGTCTTTAAAGTCCTCTGTCTGGATTAACACTCACAAAGGCTCTGTCTGATATGCATTTACAGTGTTTAATAACAATAATTCAGAGGGTATGACATGCACAAAAATGGCTTTAAAGTGTTCCTGGCTAAATCCATTTCAGTATGATTGTTATGGCTCATACGATGTCACCTAAATACCACATCTGAATTCTGGGCCAACTTCTTCTCCTGTTGTTACATACATAAAATTTACTAGCAACAGTGATGTTGCCAGAGGGAAGTGAAAGGTCATAAGAAGGAGGTGAAGCTGCTTCATATTTCCCACCTCCAGTATTTAGAAGTGGCCAGGTACGTCTCTGTACCTACAAACAAAGGTTTGGAAAGCAAATGGACGCATTAGTTCTCTTACTTAAGCTACCTACTTAACAGTCTCTGAATTGGAACCCCGGGGCAGAACGAATGAGTGCACGAACAGAGCTGACATGCACTTAAAAAAATAATGTATTGTTGTTTGGGCTAAATCACATGGAAAGCATGGGAGAGGTATGGAATTGACACCATTTAGTTTAGGTTCTGTTGCAAAACAGCCAAGCTCATTTGTGTCATGACTCCCTAGCCCGGTAGCAGCTCCCTCTACAGTCACATCACCATTCGAAGCAGAGAGGTGTAAAGCACATGTACACAGAAAGGTGTTTCTGACTACTGCTAGATGTTGGTCCGTGCCCCTGAGAAAGTCTATGAAAACTTCAACGATGAGAGAAAAAGCTGGCAAAGAAGCTCGAGACTAAGGAAGGATGGCTGAGAATGGCAGGGGATCTGAGAGAG